TCATGGGTCTAGTTCTGGACATCGGACACAAAAGAGATCATGGGTCGTAGTTCTGAACATCTGAAGCAATTGATATCATAGGTTCTAGTTCTGGACATTGGACGCAATTGAGATCACTGGTCCTAGTTCTGGATATCGGACGCAATTGAGATCACTGGTCCTAGTTCTGGAAATTGGATGCAATTGAGATCACTGGTCCTAGTTCTGGATATCGGATGTAATAGAGATTATCATGGGTGCTATAATTCTGGACCTCAGTACCGCAGCAATTGAGATCAATTGCTAGTTCTCGACAACATATACATGTACGTTGTGTGCCTGGAAGAAGGACGTAAGCGCTTACACCCTTTTGCTGAGAAGTATAATCACTGCAAAAGAACTTTTCTGGCAAAAGGACGTATGTGTGCAACTGTTTTGATTTAATGAAGTATAAAGATTTCTTTGCAAAAAAGTTTTAAAGAAATTTCCCAAGTAGTTTGATAAGTTGTTCGAAGGTGGCTTATTGTACAGCCTGTGTTGATTTTGTAGTAAATTCTACCCTTTTCACTAAATAAAGAGTGTGTTTCTCCGAATAGCTTAGTACTAATTCCTTTGAAAATCGCTAAAAGTTGGATCATGATTCGATCCTGTGACGGATGGCAGGCTTGCAGTCTGAGAATATTGGACTAATTATATCTCTCAATTAAACCTATGCAGTTGATTTGAGCGGATCTTCTGTCAGAATTCTGCAATGTGATACCGTTTTCCACCAAAAACCATGCCAAGTTCGGTAGAAAAATGTTGCCTGTGTGTACCTCCATGAATGTCCCACATCGGTCATAGGTTGTCGCAATCTTGATGTGGGTGGCGTTGTGGTGTCTGCCAACACACGCCGGGTCCAGGAAATGCAAATGAGACGCCAAAGCATCACCAATCACAGACCGGGGAATGAAGACAGCCATGCCAGAGACGGAACAGTCCATTGATGGCAAGAGGGGTGGGGTGGTGATAACACGCGAGGGTGAAGTCACTTCCACTGGCTCCGTCGCACCTTCAGTGGGCAGGTTCCTTATCGTAATATCTGAAGAGGTTGTGATCCAATCTCCCCATTCCTCTGTGCTATATGTTCGGGCCCCTGCAGTGGCTGCGTGATCCAGAAAACGGGAATCTCGTTAACTGTACACCTGGAAGCATTGCAGTGGTTGTACTCAAGTTTGTCCGTACGCGTGCCTTAATGTTGGGTATGACACCTTTTATCTTTTTCTTTTTCCTTCTTTTGGGGGTAGGGATTCTGCAACGGTTAATATTTTTCACAACTGGAAGTCGTGCCATATACCAATTGAATCTCTCTATTTCCCATTTTTTAAAATACAAAATCAGGCATTCCGATAGAAAATTTTATTCCACAAAGCCTTTATGATGGATCATGAGTATACGTACATAAATAAATATACTGACTTGGTATTGACCATAGACTGTAGACAAAATACTTCTGGTGCCCAACTCCTCTGTCTAAAAATGTGCTCAGTATATAGTGATACAAACTTTGTATCGCATGCTCTATGTATCTAGATTATGGACTTGATTCTTGATAAATAGGTACATGAGTGTAGTCAATTAAGTAACGTTGTAAAATCTGACAACCTCAATTCAGATGCATGACATTTTAATCCAACCATGATCTTTCTCAAGGTTAATTTACAGCTTTATCTAAACATCAGCCCCTCAAATTTTTATCCGTCATGTCACCGTCATCAAGAGGTGCAGCAGCTGTTAAATGTTACGTGTCTGAAATACCGGTACTACTCACTTAGTAAGTGATCATCAAAGATTACCCTGTAAAAATAAGGATCGTTGACGGCAGCTGATGGAAGATGACAAGGGTCTGGTCCTCTTACTACGCCTTCATCGAGTAGGACGTAATACTCATACCCAAGGGGAATATGTCCCTGCAAAAAGTCTGTAAATGTAACTTGTAGTGTGTCAGGTGAAGGGAAGTTTACGAAGTCAGGATACGAGACGTGAATTCCGAATGACCAGCCCGGCCCACTACTGCTTCGAATGATCCGGATGCGAGGTTCCGGAACACCAGGGATCACTTGTCCGAGTGTTACCTGAAAGTTCAATTCATTTGTGATTTAGAGGACTTTGAAATCCTTGGAATGACTCATCTACTGATAAGATGCCATACGTCAAAGCAGACTCTAAAAATTAAGTGTTTGCAAAAAGCTGCCCTCTCTTGTTAATTACTTACATTTTGGTCAAACTTGATATTGAAGATCCACTTAGAGTCGGCAGGTATCCTGTTGACAGTCGCATTGGGCCAAACATGAAAAGCTAAAGGAGGGGACACTGAAAAACATAATTCGTCAAGTTATCACAATAGCGCTAGTACGGGTACAGGTTTATTGGCATGTAAAATGAAAACTATTAGTTTGGGAAGTAGTTGAGTGGCAATTTTCTCTGAATAAGAGGACAAAGCAGCACTGTCAAACCAGCCTCCCAATAATTTCATGTTTAACCTCAACATAAAGAAATATGACAAACTATTGGATTTTTAAGAATTTTTTTTGCTCCAACCTATAATCTCGTGAACTCCATACATTAGCAAGAACCTAAGCACTGCATTATTATACCAGAAGTTATAGTCTGGTGACGCTCTAGGGCACATATGTAACTTTCCAGTCGCTTAATTGTGTTGTCAAATCTGTTAATTACAGCTACAGTAGGATTTGTCTGGGGAGCAGAATGAAGAGCCAATTACCACGAAGGGAGGAAACAGGTACGAACCAAGGCTTACATTGTTCAAAGCAAATATTTATTTGAAATGTTTCGACAGTGTTGCAATTGGGACACACGAATTTGACATAAAGAAATCGATACATGTAGCTTTAGGCGTTCTCTATGTATTAAGGGAAAGTTAGAGTGTAGGGTGAAAGCTGCGCTTAGCCTATTTCTGACAGATTAGTGTCTGGGAGAGCGGTATTTGGTACGTTTGGGTTCACTAAGTTCATGGTCTGTTAAGAACTCCAGGTTGAAATGCTCAGAAAGAAAATCCTCTTACCAACACTAGAGCAGTAGTCAGCCGGAGTTGTCACGATCGGTGACTCGTCAGTGCCTACACAAGGAATGCACAACGCAAACAAACAATTTAGCGGTAAATGTCGTCGGGTATGACGGGACTAAACTTTAAACGTGTAATATACAGTTTGGCATACATACAAGGACCAAAGCGCAGTGTCGTATTCAGCGGGGAGGGGTTGGCTGACGGATTAAAAAAAATGTTTCATAGATTAGATGGTAATTGGTAAAATTACTTCTCAAATATTAGCACCAAAAATATAAGAAAACAACACTATGAAATAAAGCAAGGATGAGGGGACCACAAGTAAGGCTTTTGATTTTTTTTCTTTCCAAACATCATGTTGAAGGAGCCCAGAGAATTCCCCCACCCACAGACCAAACATCAAGTGAATTTGAAATATACACGGAAACCATGATATACTGTAAAGTTCAGCTGTGACAGCCATATGACAGTTATTATCCATATAAGTTACTCAAAGAGTAGCTGCCTATGTGTTGGGTTCAGTTTTACAACGTTTGGAACACTGTAAAACTGCGACACTCAATGTTCCAACAAATTTTTCGTGGGGTGGACCTTGGGTAAGTGGGTGAGTGTTTAGTTTTTAGTTGGTTTTTTTTAATGAAATCCCCCTTTTTGGTTCGTATCTGGAAAACATGTCCACTACTACTACTACCACTATCATCAATTTATAACTATTTCGTTTATAAACAGTTACAAATCGATTTTACAAATCTTTGTACCACGATCTCTATTATAATTATAGACCACATCTATCGATGCGTAACGAATAGTTTATGTGATGGTGGTCAAGTGGTAACATTAAATGTAAAACTAAAGGGGGTTCTGACATTTTGATCATAATCGAGATAAATCCTCAAAGGCAAAATTAAGAATGTGTCTTCTTGAATGCACCAGGTCCATCTCTACCTAGTGACTTCCATATTTCAGCATACTGTCGGCAATGACAGATCTAGGCCAAAGTTTTTATAGGGGGCAAAATATGTGGAAACTCGTCTTCATGTAACCTTTAAGGCCATTCGTGAGAATAATTTGGGGGATTTACGCTTTGGGTTCAGAAAGAGAAGTGAGAAGAGGGAAAATTCGCCTTTTTTGGATTCTTTTTAAACTCCTAATTTTTGGGGCTCTTTTTTTGGGGGGGGGGCGATGAACACAGTCCCATTGCCTGTGGATATTTTGTTTACCAGCAGCGTCTGTTTTTTTTTACAATTCTGTAGTATTACTTACTTGGGAAGTGGCCATACACTACTCTGAAGAAATACGGATCATCAACAGCAACTGATGGGAGGTAACAAGGGTCGGGTCCCGTTACCACGCCTTCATCAAGTAGAACGTAATACTCCTGGCCAAGTGGCAAATGGAGCCTCTCAGTCTGTGGGATTACGACTTCCAAAGTGTCAGGAGTTGGGAAATTGTACCCGGGATTCCAGCCTGGAATTCCCACCGTCCATCGGCCACTGCTCGCGGAGTAGAAATAAATATACGCCGATGGTGACATCCTACTCATTACCTGAAAGTCGAATTCCACCGGGATTTACTTTATCTTCTAGTTCTTCCACAGGTTTTCTCGCACCGTCCGTCATGCATTTTGGTGATGATTTGCATGAGATAAACGACAGTGAACAAAGTGCTTTTAAGGGCAGACATCATTTAGTGGTTAGAGTGTCTCATACATAAAAAGAACATAATCCCTTGAATGTGTAAATGGATTGAAAAGTCACAGTTGTGGAGACATTGCAAAGCTGAAAAAAAAACTGAAAAGACCTCATTACCTAGAGAAGGCTGAGAATAATGAAACTCGCTGAAAACAACTTTTATACTTACGTTTTGGTCGAACTTGATACGGAACGCCCAGCTGGAATCTGCAGGTATGGTGTTGATGGTAGCATTGGGCCAAACACCAACAGCGACAGGAGGGGAGGCTACGAAGGTTAAGAAGGGAATTTGTTCGTTTACCAAACAGTGCTACGATGGTTGGAGGGGGACGTTGTCTCTCACTGAACTTGAGGGTAGAAGTCGTATCAGTAGGCCTACTGCAGTATTGCATTTTATGTTCAAAACATTACATTAAGAGTTCCTAATGTCTAAAAATTGGTTAGGAGATTTGTTGAAAATAATGTACGTGCACTACGCTAGGCCTACCTGTACAGATAAAACAAAGTTTGGAACATCTTTTTGTTTCAAGGCCCCAGACTTTGCCATAACCATGCCACTGCCGAGAGGACTTACTCAATCCACGATCTCAGCTAAGCCTATTCATGATTTTATTTTGTCACTAATAGGCCGATACAAACTCAGCCACAAACTATATGAAAAATACAGGTTTATTACATGTGATGTATCACCCTTAAGGTAGTCGTTTCATTTGTTTCACTGAGTTCAATAATCGATTAACAAGATTGCAACAAAATCAGTAATAAAATTCGTGCTAATTTTTCCATTTTCCAGAAACTTTTTATGAAGAAACAATCCAGTTTTTAATTCGAAGTCTGCATTGGAATTAGTTTTGTCAAATATACAACAGTCTCAGTATTCAAGTTTTATCACAAGAATCCAGCACGAACACGGCTAAACTCTCCTCTATTAAATCCACGTGCCCCCACAGCATTTCTCTTGAAATGCAGTTGCAGCATATTTTCTTGTGGGGCCTCCTTGAAAAAATGTGTGCACCCCTGGGTCCCCCGGACATTTAGCCATATAGTTACGCCACTTTCAATATCACGATCAAGAAAATATTATAACAGGGAACTAGTTACATCTTGAAAAAGGTACGAGGTGGGAAAGGCTGGGGTAAAGGCTGTCAAGCTGCTCTTAACAAGACAACTCAACAACATTTTATGAAAACATTTTTCCCTGTATCATAGTGTCATTTAGAACCTCCGCACGACAGAAATGGAAGTCTGGAAAGGCAGTACAGGATGGGTCGTTAAGACTCATGAGAAATGTTTGGAAAGAAACTAAACTCTCTTACCAACACTGGCGCAGTCTACTGGTGATGGTGGAGTGGTTGCTGCTTCAGTAGTGCCTACATGGAGAGTACGCAACCGCAAAAACATCTATCGGTCAAGTTCGTCAAGTAACCGATCCGACCTCAAATCAGATCCGATTAGAATGGTTCAGTTGGATTGGGATTAAAACTGTAGAATTTCGTTTCGATCTCATTGCAAATCTCATCATCATCATCCGACAAAAGATGACACGCCCATCCGTCAGGGTTGTCTTGTGTAAGGTCATCGAACTTTCACACATAATTACAAACTCCCATAATAGCTTAATAGAGAACAATCAAACTGTGTCAACTTCCGGTGGCTCTAATACTATCTCCGCATAGTGGGCGTGGTTTAATCCAAAACGACGTCACAACTACAAATGGGATAATGAAGTTATATCAGTGGATCACATTTACGTATACTTACAATAAATCGCTACTTGAGTGCTGTGAAATTTCAAAAACCTCAGGGGGCTTAACATTATCTCATCAGACTCTCCCCAAGATGAGATTCTGCTTTTATCGAAACTTCAGATTCTCAATCTAAACAGAGTCCTTCAGGTCACCGTACGTGTACATTGCTCATTGCAAGCTTACCTAAAGCACTTGTTGGTTTGCATTTCACACTAGCTAATCAGCTAAATACTTACTTGGTAAGTGACCATAGAATACTCTGTAGAAATACGGATCATCGACAGCGACTGATGGGAGATAACAAGGCCTTGGTCCTGTTACCACGCCTTCATCAAGTAGGACGTAATATTCTTGGCCAGTGACCATATTTTCCAGCAAATGATTTGGGACTACCACTTGCAGAGTGTCTGGAGCTGGAAAGTTGATGTTGTAAAGATTCCAGCCAGGAATGGAGAATGTCCATCTACCACTGCTGTAGTAGAACTTGATGTAGGCCGACGTCACTTGTCCGAGTAATACCTGAAAATTATTCGCTGATAATTTCCAAGATTGTACAAGGCACATATTTACCTCATTGCCCGTATTACGGGCTATTCACAACAGTGCGCCTCAGAGAGTTTGCAACGCGGTGACCAATCACAACGAGCGAAATCGGTAAAATCAATTCCTTGTGTTTTCGGGTTTGCTAAATGAATGTTCTACTTTAATTTGCATGATAGTTTCTCATGGATTACGATAGATACGAATTATTGAACCTAGATCCACCAGTAACACAATTGTTTTGTACTCAAAGCCGTCGTGAATTATGCAGGGTCTTTAAATTGGTGGAAATATTTACACCATTTTAATTAAAATAGGACATATTTTTTCACTGATAGTGCACTTATAATATTAAAGATAGCTCTCATACATAGAGATGAATTTGACGCTGAGAAGTATGATATAATTAACAACACTCTTTTACGTACGGTAGACATTCTTATTGTCATAGAAAGCCGGTATCGGACAGGCCAGGGTTAACTCGGTCCAAACTCCATTAAAAGCTGACAAAACCAGCAGCGACGTTGTTGGGTGACTGAGGTGCATTTTCAAGGGACACACTCGGGCCCTTATTTTATGGACTGATAATCACCATATGTATTTCTGAGTTAATGGCACACCGCGGGGGGGGGGGTTATGGGGAAAGACGTATCTCCATGCCCCCTCTTAGTTATGTCACTATGGAGACAAATTTGATCTTTGTGATTGATTACTCACGTTTTGGTCAAACTTGATATTGAAAATCCAGTCGGAATCAGCAGGTATCATGTTGACGGCAGCATTGGGCCACACGTCCACAGCGACAGGTGGGGATGCTGAGGTGATAGTTTGCATAGGGAAGGGAAAATATGATTTCTTTTGCCAAACGTGAGCACAGAACTCAACATTCTGACACGCAAATGATTTAATTTTATTAATAACATATACACAACCTCATCCTCAAAATTATGATTATGAAAGCCACAGGTTTAATATGTGTGTCTTACCACACGACAGGGTGAAGCCTACTTTGATTGATTTCAAATCAATACGAATAATATTAAGAAGAAGCACTGATGAAAATCATGTTTTATTATTTTTAGGTTAAAAAGTCTGTAATTAAAACGTTTCCTCACAAAGATCGGAATTTACAACGGCTGCAGTAATTTCACGTTTGTGAAGAAAAGGGCGTGTCTCAGTATTATTTAAATTTGATAAAAACCTCCACAAGATGAACATGAAAGAATCACAAAAGATGTCACTTGACAAATTGTGAACTCCCTCACCGGCAGTGGCGCAGTCCTCTGACAGAACTCTTGGTAGTTCTTCAGTGCCTGTAAATAACGCACCCCCAAAAACATGACTTGATGAGTAACAGTCCAAAGAAAATCATAAATTACTTTCTGACTGGTTCATTGCTCCCTTAGGTTTATGCATAAAATGTATAGCTTGTTTGACGTCCATACGCACAATGCATTGCGTATGTCGAACAGGTTGGGGCGTACTTTGTAAGACATACCGAAAAATACTGAAAATTAGCAGACGTCGAATTTCAACCAAAGAGAAATTTTCACGTGGGAAACTGACCTTGAAATCGATAATCATTTGTCGACTTCCCTCTGAAATCAGTCGAACGAACCTGTCCAAAATATCCTTGAAGGAAAGCGACTAGAAGCAGGAGATGTAGGAAGCTTCCCATGGTAACAGGTGGACCCGTTACTCAGCCTTCCAGCAAGGTTCCGAAAAGACCTCCGACAGATCTGTGAAGAACCCTGTTCATTTATGTGGTAGGCATGTCGCCTGTTATCGATTAAGCCGGCACAGGTAGAAACAAATACAATTCATTCGGACACATACGAAAAAACCATTTTACGAGAGGGATCGATGAGGGGGGGGGGGGCTATTTTACCATATCTTTCCAACAGCACATGAGCAAGCACAAAACCTCTTCCTAAAAATGGAAACCCAGCCATTGGATTATTTTCTGGGACGGTGATCAAGTCCTACTATTTTGAAAGCAGCTGCCAATTAATGGTTCAAACTTATTAGTTTGCAATTGGTATAGGGTCCCCCTCTAAAGAAAGAGTCTAGATATGAACGTTTCCAAATTAAAACACGTCATTTGAGAGCCGTGTGAATCTTTCAAATGTGACATCCCGTGGAATACAGACAGCTGAACAAATAATCCTTGTGATCGGCGTGTCCAACTGCTCTCAAAATCTGATTAAAAAGGGGAGTGGGACACCTTATGAAACAATGGTAACCTGTCTCCAGAGACAAAGCACTCAGAGGCATATAGGCCTAAAGGGACCTTTCTACCAAGTAACAGTAAGGCTGAAATGGACAAACTTCATGTTGTCCAGCGCTTCTGAAAGTAAGTCAGATGTGAAGGTCCGCCGAGTCAGTTGAATTCAGACTTCAACAGTCATGACAAATATACATATAGGCCTACTTGAATACGAAATGAGAAGTGTATTATAGATCATCAACTGTGTACTTGATGAAAGAAATCCTCTACAATAAAGTATTATACCTCCCACGGCAAACTTAAGTCTGACGCAGACGATAACGAAACAGGCAAATGAAGCAAGATATGAGACGGAGAGAACCCTCGCGGCTTTGTGTTGGTCATCGTTTGATTGGAATCTGAGGAATTCTTTTGAGACATCTTGTGGGGATGCGTTAGGTAACAAGTCTAGAGTGTGTATAACAATTGGACATGGGGGGGTACCCGTCGGTCTCATTTCTTGCTGGATATAGAAACAGGCGGAGCCGAATAATCACCGCTTTGACATGTTTTATTTTCCGTTACATTTCAGTTAAAAGCTCTCTGGATGGGTTGACCGAAAATGGAATGCTGCATTTATGGGATGATAATCAAAAAAGGCCAAATTCAACAAACACTGCAGAAATGTCCAGATTGAACAGTAATTTCATTTGCAGTGAACAAGGATCTTCGGTGGCACTCGGCACGGTGCTCTATAAAATATTGCCCTTTAAGTGAATACGCTACAGACACTCCAAGCTACCTCATTAATGTTCCCTGGGTGATATGCAGAAGGTATCCTTGATTTGTTCGTTTGTGTCTGTTGTTTGAATGCGGAAAACTGTCTGAATATTCAGATGTAATCGACGTTCTAGAGAAGGATTACGTGCGTCGCACTATAGAACTCTACCAAAATAGAAAGCACTCTTATTTTTAGGATTGTTTTTAAGATTTCAGGTCACTTGTGAAAAATCAGCCCTCTGTGTGGGTAGTTAAAATATGCTCCAGTTTTGCCATTCTGTTGCAAAACTTACTGTTGGTAACATTACAAACTGGTACCCACGCGTCTTTCCGTACCAAGAACTAGATCCAAGAAGGATCTGCCTCGACAGGCGTAATTAAATTAGCTGAAAACCACTGCAAGTGAAAGCATCTCTCAAAGGTTCTGTTTACAGAAAGCAGTTTTGCTGGTACCAAAACTGGACACCAGCGAAAGTCTGGGTAAAATACAGAAAAAAAGACAAAAAAGGGGATGTAAGTATCTTAGCAGTTCTCTTATGTAAAGCCTGCAAGTCAGTAATTATCATAATCCACTTGCCCATATGCCATTGTTTTTCTGTTAGATTTTTCTACTAAGTTAATTTACTTATCTCTACTTAACGAATTAACAGCTTATAAGGCAAATCGATATTTCTGGAGTCTGGGAAAAATACCATAGGACAACTCTGTGACTTAATTCCATGAAGCGCTTACGAAGCTGTTTGGAATAGGACAATGTATATGAAAAAAAAATCAAACTCAAAATAATAGGGTGCTACAAAGTGTTTCTCGAAGGCAAGAAAATGAAACAAATTGGTAAGTTACATTTTACAAAGTATTTCCACTGTGCTGCCCGATGCTACCTATCTGTGCTAAATATTATGACTCAACCTTACGCTTTGGCAATCATTTACTTGATTTGGTAACAAACTCACTATGCTGTCGTGGATATATCTCCGTTGTGTTGGTAGTGCTAATTTATAAAAAATACGAGAGCACATACTTGCTTTGCAAAAGGAAGCCGGCTGGCATAGGCGTAAATCTGTAGTAAATTTCAAATCCAGCTGTGTTCACATGAATGCATCTGTGTTCTGATGCATCAATCAAGCCGATATGACATAATGAAGAAATGTGCAAGTAGTAATAGAATGAGCTTTCTTTTGTTCCATGTCAACAACCCAAAACTTTAAAACGGAGTTTTAAAGACTTCGTACCGAAATTCCTACACTGCATCTAGTATTCTAATTGGACATTTAATTTATTCCTTCTTGTTCTCATACTGTCCTACATAAAACTGAATTCAAACTGTTCGTGCCCAAGATGTTAGCGTGGAATAATAGGTTCTCCAAATCAGGAAACAAAGTAGGTGCTCTCGTAAATTTAATAAAACTAAACATTGTGGTCTAGTTGAACAAGTTCCAGTTTGATTCCAAGCAAAGGCCGAGTCCGATGTCAGCTACCCAATGGTTTTACTCTTCCACATCCATGGCCAATGGTTGGTACATGGCCAGGCGCTTACTGCGCTTGCGCATCATGACAACCAGTGTACCAAGTACCAGCACACAGCCAACCAACAGACAGACGGTTGTCAGAAGGATTGGCAGCTGGACGGACGACAGCCCTGAAGAGGCTTCTGGGGGGAAAAAAGAATGTAAATATTCACACCTTTCTAACGTTTACTAAATTGGAATAAAATTAATCAGTATTACGTAAGCAAAGTCCAAATGAACAGGCCCAACCAAGTTCTGTATAGACCAGCCCTCCTCAGTCTATTGCAACCCAGCCCAGGTAGCAAAGAAAGGTGACAAAGCCCAACCAACCCCAGCCCGACCAAACCAGGCCCCTATCACTCCAAGCCCAGACCGGTTGTGCAAGCCTGACCAGGCCCAGTCTAGTCCAGGCTAGCCAAACTGTCTCAAGCCTGACCAAACGCAGCCAAATCACCAAGCCAATCCGGCACAAGTGCAGCAAGCCTGACTCAGAGAACAGATAAACCAAATCAACCCCAGCCCGGCTTGGCAAGACCCTGCCCAGCCTAGCTCATCACACAACGAAAGCTATACCGATCCAATCACCTAGCCCAGCCTGACCCAACCCAACCATGCCCAGCTTGGCAAGACCCAGCCCAGCCTAGCTCAACACAACGAAACCCATACCAATCCAATCACCTAGCCCAGCCTGACCAAACCCAACCCAGTCCAGCTTGGCAAGACCCAGCCCAGCCTAGCTCAACACAACGAAACCCATACCAATCCAATCACCCAGGCCAGCCCAGATTAGTAAGCCTGACCTAGCCCAGTCCCGTCACACCCAGCCCAGCCCTGCCCACCCCAGCCTAGCCAATCCCTGCCCCTTCCAAATCCACCCATTCTATGTCGCTCCTCTCAGTCTAGTCCCAGCTCAGTTTACTTTACCAATCAAAACTGAAGCAGATACTTGCTTAACAAGGGAAAGACAGATACCATACTTTGGGGAAAGCTAACCCCATGCCAACCCTGCCTAAACAAATCTACCCTTCAACTTTGCCCAGCCCTTCTCAACCTACAGTCAGGCTCCTCTTACTACCTTTGCCTCCTTCCTTTGCCAGTGATATGGGTCCTTGTGTGATGGGGTAAGCCCGGGAACCGGACAAGGTGGATCTAGCACGCCGTTTGTGCATGTTCAGCAGAGATCTGACATCACCAGTTGGACATCCTAGGGCACAGCGTGAGTCGGCATCGCTGGCATTGCAGAGAATCATGTCACAGTGAATGTACACCTGCAAGAAAAACAGGCCCCAGGATGAAAAGTCCTTCCTGACACTGCATTATGGGATTGCATGACATTTCTTGGGATTGGACGAAAAATAAACTCTGCATTAACAATAGGGGAAAAAGTACCAGTCAAATATCAATAATCTTTTTCTTCACGAGCCAGTATACGTCAATGAAGTTACAGACGAATTTGTAAAATACAAGACATATTTTATAACGTTAAAAAATCCTTAGAAAGCTCGCCAGAAGACAAAACATGACCGACAAATATCTTTTGCAAAAGGACACAATAACAACAGGCCAACAAATGAACGTGATTGGTCGATGCACAACAAATAAGCTTCAAATCCTGATTCTGATTTGTCAAAGTCCATGGCACAAACTTAATTCTAACAGAAGGGTTCCCCAATTTTTCAATTTCTGCTCATACGCTTTACAATGTAATTTTCCGGAATAACATTACCCCAAATTTCAAGGCAACACAGCGTGAAAAGTCGGCCTGATTTCGAGAACTTATGACACGAAAACTGATTAGAGTTTCCCTGTTCTTAAACAACTGTGTAACAGTCCCATGATGTACTGCAATAATAATACTAATGGATATTTATAAAGCGCACACATTCACCTCCAGAAAGGGACGCTCGTGGTGCTCCACGAAGAAAGAACAGACAGCAATACAAATGAATTTCACAAGACAGGATCATAAGCACGATTACTGGGGGATATTTATTGGGAGGTCACTCCACAGACGTGGGGCAGCTACACGAAATGATCCATCCCTCATGGTGCTAGTAAAACAAACATGATGACCTACGAATCCTCACCGTCTTATAGAGGCTGTATAAGAGGTAAATAATTCACAACGCATGAACAGTGCAAGCTGTAGAGCACCCTCTACTTTATATGAGCAGAGCGCATGACCCCGGATGCATCTACCTACCACTGGCTGAGGAAGGGTATCTATGAAGGCAAAGACTTCTATCTCAAAACGTTCTGCGTGTGAGTCGTGGGATGGACGGAACACCAAGGTTTTGTCTTCAATGCATCTATGAGGAAAAGACGACCAAGCACATAGTTATTTCTTAAAACATCTTTGAGGGTTACATTAAACAGTTGTGACATTTACAGCCCTTTCTAATGCACAGCCATATAAACTCACCCGTCCTGGATGAAAGTGTAGCGGTTGAAATCGTTTGAGTTGGAAGTCGGCGTGGCACGACATGTCTGCACAAACAACTCTAGGCCCGGCTCACTCCAAGTGCGCGCCTCAAAGTACAATATGTCGCCCATCTTGAAGTTGATAGGGTAGTCCGCTGGGAGGTAGGGTGTGGCGTAATCATTGGTCCGGTACAGAAAGAGAGAGAAGTTGAAGGTTCCCAACCCTTCCTCGTAGTGATTGATTGGAGAGGTGTCGGGAAGGAAACTACAGGTGTAACGAAAACAAAATTGATAGGGCTGGTCCAACATTTGAATATTCAAATGCCCACAATGTTTACTGCATTGTACCTTGTAACACAGTGGGGCTCATCGGTCTAGTATGTCACGAAAAAGGTGACATCTGGAATGGTGCACCAACCCTTTCAGTTGTTTCTTTGTTTTTGAAGGTGCCAACCTTTTGAGTGTGACAAAGCACTCAGAAGAGTGAAGCAATGGAATAACATTTCAGATGATCTCAGCCAGGTTCAAAGTTTGTTTTATAGTTCCCTGTATTCCATTTTAAAAAAAAATTCAACTATCTTTATTGAGGTAAACCCATCCAGCAGAAGCTGATCATTTGGGGCCCTCTTTAAAAAAAGAAAAAGAAATACATCAAGATCGTAATATAAATATTACCAAGAATACACAAATATATCAGAACCATGCACAGAAAAAGGTTGCTCATTCTTACAAATTACCTGAAAAATTACGTTTAAAATCCAGTTAAAAATTTTTAAAAGTGAAATGAGAGGAAAAATAAGTCTAGGTACAGGAAAAAAGGCAATCTTTGTGGAGACATCGCTTCCAGGTCAATGATGCACCAGTCTGTAGTCTTAACTATCTCGGTCTTGGTTTACTTTCTTGCTTGGTGTAGACAAACAAAACTGACTTCATTTATGAACTTAAGATCCACTACTTTTTGGAAAACCCAACCAGTGACACATCAAGGATTCCAACAATTGAGTAACCATAGACAGGGCAGGCACTTATGGACAGACCAGCGAGATAAGTGGTCAATTTATGACATTATAAGAAAAAGCCTCGGCCCAGTGTCAAGGCGCTGTTAAGCACAAAATTTCACACTATCAAAGACTGTGCATATAATGCCTGGTGAAAGGCAAGCTCTCCTCAGAGGAAGAATCTGCTTAACGTCATGAGCATCTGCTTAACGTCGTGAGCATCTGCTTAACGTCGTGAGCATCTGCTTAACGTCGTGAGCATCTGCTTAACGTCGTGAGCATCTGCTTAACGTCGCCATGAATTTGTGCTCGGGGTGAGCAAATATTTCTGCTATGGTAAGCACAACTGATCTATTAAGTAGCTCCATTAACCCTAACACTCCTCAATCTTTCACCTGTTGGAGGATTGAGGAGTGTTAGGGTTAAAATGAGCCCAGGCATGTCCACCCACCTCAGTTTGGCCATGCCATCCAAGTCCATAATACACTGGGCTGTGATGTGTATATCCAAGTCACGGGTGATATTGGCACCAGCCTCCACAGGGACAGCCTCATCATAAACAGTATTGAAGTAGATGACTTTCTCTCCTCGAATCTACAGGAAACCCCAACACCAAAAAAACTGTTTATCGTCACTTGTTATTTCTAAACAAATTCGTGCAAGGTATAAAAGATGAAAGAATGCGGCAAAAACAGTTCAGTTTGGCTTCAGAAGCTCCTTAAAATACTGGGATGATTTGGATTCAGTACCTCCCTGAATGTCCCGCATCGGTCGTAGGTTGTAAAGATCTTGACGTGGGTGGCGTTATGGTGACTGCCGACGCAGGTGGGGTCCTGGAAATGCAGGTGATAGGCCAAGGCGTCGCCTATGACAGACCGTGGAATGTAGACAGTCATGCCAGACTCGGCGCAGTCCACTTCTGGCTGGGGAGAAGCCTCTTCAGTTATCTCTTCATCATGTGAGGAATTACAAACAAAGAGAGATTTGCAAATAGCCTTTTTGATTTATTTTCCTGCTTGATTTTTCTGTGTTTGTTTTCTTGTGTAATTAATGCTGCATAAATAATGTTGGTATTGGGAAATCTAACTGTTGAAATCACTGGACCTGTTTTTGACGGTTTTGTTCTTCAAAGTATACCCGTAAAAAAATCAAAACGCCCGGGTCTGTGACAACTGATACTACCTGAAATTGACATCACAATGATATACATGTACATGTATGAGTTTTTGTCACTTCATGAAACAAAGAGAAATACCAAATCTTTGTGTAGAGGAAGGTGGGGCTACTGGACCACTGAAACACATTCTTCATTCTAACCATATTCAATAATCCAGGAAAAGGATAAAAATACTCTTAAAACATGACCACAACATTTGTTTGTTTATGGCAAACGGTTAAAATCAATTACATTAATAAACTTATGAATATTAACTCATTAAAAAATAGTGGACCACATCATAAAACCTTCAAACTTGCCACCAAACGAGTATGAAATGAACGCTGGAATTAGTACATTGATGATAAAACACTGAAATTGGCAATCGTAAGTTCAATTTTAAAAATTAATTAGAAAATTCCTATACCTTTCCTCCAGTCAGGTAATTTCTGGTTTGGGGATGTTAAGCTAAGAGTGGAATCGTTTGGTTTGGGCATTTTTATTATCCTAAATCATGATTTGAAGTTTATTTTTTAACTTAATTTAGTTTTTCATTTGGGCCTCAATTTACATTCAGCTTAATCTCTGAAAAAATAAATATACATGTACATGTAGTTGTTTAAAAAAACGCAAATGGTCAATATCATAACCTTTTAATTTAATTTGGTCTAAGAGTGGGCCAGTTGCCCCGATGACCCACATGCCCCACCCTCCCCTTATGTTAATGTGAAAATAAACACATTATTGCTTGAAAACTGGGCTTACTTGTTGAGTTACTGTGTTACTTCTTACTTCAAATGTACATGTACTGAGACAGAATTGGCAAGAAAAACTCTGGATTAAAAAAATTTCGATTTTCCAGGTTTTTGTCACTTTGTGAAAATATTGATAATTGTTCTTTGCCCAAAAGCATCCCCCAAAATACCCATCTCTTGTATCCTATATCAACAAAATGATGAACAAAGAAATCTCCAAATTATTAAATTAAAAGTTGTTAGAAAGACAAAGCCTGATGTAAAATGGTCAGTTTAGGAGCGATCTTGGAACTTGGTAATCACCAGGGAGTAGTTCAGACCAACCTTGGCTTTGTGTTGTGGGGCGTTCACCACATGTAACTCCGGCATCCTCACTGTGATGGCAATTGTGGCTAAACCAGCCTCGGTGTGGGCAATCAGCAATGTTACTTTCATAGCCTCTGCAATAAACGTCGTCAAGGGCAATAGAACCCGATCCTTGGCCAAAGTGAGCACGACTCCAGGCACGAGTTGCAGGGGGCAAGCCAAGCATGCGACAGATGACTTGAGCATCATTAATGTCCCAACTGTCATCACAAACTGTACCCCACATGTCCCTCTGGTACACCTCAACGCGACCTTCGTTCTCAAAACTTCCATTCACGAGACGAGCCTCCACTAAAGAAACAGGAGGACACAATGTGATTCTTTGTCGTTCACTCTGACACACAAAAATCGTCAGGCAAGAACTTAAACATGCACAATCAAATGCACTGTGGGTTGTACTTATCTGATGAAATCTCTGGAACCATGCAAACTTAAGATTGGATCTCATACATAATCTTTTCTGTGAGCGATCTACAATTTCAAGTTTTCAAACTTGATTCTGTTTCTCCCTTTGGGTTCAGTTTGCTAATTGCAACCTTTTCTTCATTTCCAGCTTTGCTGATAAGAGCAAGGCAACGAAACATTCTTCTATCAAAGAACTGGGTAACAACTTTGGAAATGATCTATATTGCACATTTGTCCATACAGTACATGTATGTGCATGTTTTAAATGTTATCACATTTGCTGTGAATTACAACAATTACTCTCCCTTTGAAACAATCCCCGCTTTTCCATTATAGATGATTATATTTATATATCGTAAAACTGTATAACTATTGGACAAGATTTTAGCTTCTTCTCTGAAAAGTTCACACTTGCTAATGCACCACGCTGTGACAAATTGACTGTGCTTTTTCCAGGGCAAAACAAGCAAAATGACATATATGTATATAGTTAGTTTGCTAGTTAGTTTGAAAGCATTGCCTGTCACCTGACTATCTGCTGACTACAGTCTTTGACTCTTGGGTGAAGTTGTTACACTTCTTCTGGAGTTGATTTTCAGTAAATGAAATGGTAAATCAGCGCAGTATGGAGTGTGGTGATTTTGAGCAAGATTCAAGATTATACTGACTTTCGACATACGTACATGTACGCGCAAATGTATTGAATGTGGAAATATGGTCCCTAGAAGCGTGAAAAAGCACATAGCCATTGGTGACTGTGTTACGGATCTCTCCTGCACGTATCTGCATACCTTGAAATGAGGTGGTACTCTGAAAAAATGGAAAGGGGGTCGTTCCTTCTTCCGTTACAGCAGTTTCTGTTTCGTAAAAAAAAAATGAAATTAGAGTCTTTGCATTAATACTGGATGCTCATTTCTACCTCGTCCATATCCAGTCACATGGGTGGTTTTTTACATCGACTAGTTTTAATTAAAGACTTACCAGTGGTGCAGGAAATTTTGACTTCTAATTTGTTAGGGCTGTACTAATGCCTAACTAATGATTATGTAGCAATATATACACCGTGTTTGACATTTTGTGATTTGCAGACATCAATTTTGGCAGCATTGATTACAGAAGGCGAGACCTTCTCTGGATGACATCTGCATTCATAATATCATGCTTAATTTTTTTTATGAATACATGTATGTTCTGTATTTTATGCACCATATTTGTATAAATGGAAATAAACAAACAAAACTTATACTGAGCAACTTAATCAATGCGTCTTCAGATTTCACTCTATACCACCTCAGAAAGCAAGTGAGGCATATTTCAAAGATAGCTAATCTAGAATGATGTACCTCAAAACAGGGGGAAAATTGATGGGTAAATCTATTTGAAAATTGGGAATTTGCAACTTATTTTTTATTTCCTACTCGAATTCTTTTCATAAACGGGAATAGAAGTGTGAAAGTTCATAGTTAGAAACTGGTGCATTTATAACCAGGAAGGGTTTTAAATGGGGATGATAATTGATTGAGTTGAAGAGGAGGTCACATTGTCTTTATCCTTCGTCATCCAGGGGGATAGAAATGGACATACCCAACTCACCACAGTCCACTTCTGGTAGTGGAAAAGACCCCTTAATTATCTCTTCATCATGTACATGTATAAGAAAGGAATTTTGAAAAAATCCTTAAAAAAATACCTCTCTGATCCTCCTGTGTTTGTCTGTTTTGTAATTTATCATACACAATTAACGTTGACAGACGCAAATAGCCTCATGGATTTCACTAGCCCAATTTAGGCAATTTTTTTTTTTTACGTACACATGTGAAAAAACACAAATGTTCCGACCCAAACCTGGCAGGTCTGTAAGAAATGACAATGACATCATGCCCTGCTAACAAGGCGGGTTGATGTCACTTTGTGGAAATTTAGGAAAAACAGACGCCAAACGTTTTGTCAAAATATAATGTTTGTTTATTATTAATGTGAAAGTAAACAACACTTTGCTCTGAAATTGAACTTCCTTGTTATTTGCAATAAATGTAATACAGAGAAGAAAATACTTTAGTGTTCTACTTCAACTTCAGGGGCGTAAGTCTGTGTTGGATTTTTTTTGAGTGGGGGGGTATGAGGAAAGGTGGGGGAGGGGCTGACTTGCCCAGCCGTGGGGGGGGCACATGATATACACTATATAGGGGCAAGGTTCAACATGGTAGAGGTAGACAAGTACATCTGTATAAAGTGAATCAAATTGTGGCTTTTTAAAATTGCTTTCCCTTTCTAGTCATATTGCAAACATTTTAGTCGTTGGGATATCCGAAAAATTCTTTAAAATACGCTTAGATTTTATTTTCATCACAAAAAAGTGGAGGGATAATTGAACAGCCCACTTTGCACCTCTGAAAATGATTTAGAACCATGTTCAACTTAAATACTAAACAAAGGATTTTTCCGGATTATTGAACTAAAGTTTGTTAAATCAAACAAATTCTGATGTCAAAGGGTCAGATCATAGAGATCCTGCAAAATCGTGTG